GATGGGGTGGGGCCTGTAGCTCAGAGGATTAGAGCACAACCAGGGTGTTAGGGTTTCAAATCCCTCCTCGCCCACAACCGAAAAAAAAGGGAAGGACTTTTCCCTCTGGGGGTAGGAAAATCATGATCGGGATAGCGGACCTAAAGGTATGGAACTTGGGTGTGGGTCTTTTGTCGAAATGGAATGGCCTTATCTTTTTTTTTTTTTCGTTAATGGGTTAAGGGGGTTCCGTTATAAATTCAATATAGCATACCCTCTTCGAATCGCATCTTTTTTTGTTTTATGCCCCGTAATTCTTCCTGAGCCAGGCTAAATGTGTTCCTCGTCATTAATCTCTTTGCTCGCGGTAATTGTGACGGGAGAATCGATGACTGCATCAAAGATGTACTAGTATAGTAGTTTGAGTATGAGAATTCTTAATTGGCTAGTTGTAAATAGACTCGTGTAACAAAGGATTATCCCGGACCTACACCGAGGTATTGCCGGTGATTCTCAAATATCGCAGAATAGAATTTGATACGATGAGATAGAATGCAATAGAAACAAAGATAGAGGGAACGGTTACCTACTCTTAACGGTCAGAACCCTTATTAGGATTCAAACCTACAACCAATTGGTTAACAGCCGACCGCTCTACCACTGAGCTACTGAGGAACAATGGTAAATTAGATTTCAGAGAATTCCATTCTCGTTCTCAACCCATGACCAATATGAGCTCGAGGTTTCCTCCGTCACTCCCGGAACTTCTTCGTAGTGGTTCCGCTCCATGCCTCATTTCATAGAGAACCTCAAAGTGGCTCTATTTCATTATATTTCATCCATATCCCAATTGATTCCATTCATTTAATATCCCTGTGGTGTCATTGAGATAAGAGATTTCGTTTCTAGTCTATCTCTTTCTATATGGAAAGTCCAATATATATATCCACAAAAATTGCAATAGAAAAGAAGGAGGTTTGTGATGATTTGCAAATCTTTTCTACTAGGTAATCTATTAAGTATCTTTATGCATGAAGATAATCAATTCGGTCGGTTATGGTCGGACTCTATTATGGATTTCTAACCACATTCTCCATAGTGCCCTCTTATTTCTTCCTTCTCCGAGCTCGGGTTATGGAAGAAGGAACCGAGAAGAAAGTATCAGCAACAACAGGTTAGGTTCGATTATAGGACAACTTAGTTCATATCGATCTATTATGCGCCTCTGTCTGCATCTAGCATTGAGTAGACCTCATACGATAACTGTCCTAGCTCTACCGTATCTTTTGTTTCATTTCTTCTATAACAATCTCTCAAACACATTTTTGATTAAGAATCTACTACCAGAAACTCAATGCGTAATCTTAACATTCAATGTGTATTCCCTCATAATCTCATCATTCATTATTCAACCATTTCATTTTACCAAGTTCAATGTTAGTCAGATTAGTCAATATTTCTATGTTTCGATGCAACAACAAGATGTTCTTTGTAAGAAGTCATTTTGTTGGTTGGTTAATTGGTCACATTTTCTTCATTCAATGGGTTGGATTGATATTAGTATGGCTACAGCAAAAGAATTCTATGTAGATCTAATAAGTACCTTGTGTCAGAATTGAGAAATTCTATGGCTTGAATCTTTAGTATTCTCTTATTACCTGTGTCTACTATTTAGGCGGAATACCTTCACCCATTCTGACTAAGAAACTGAAATAAACGGAGGGGACTAAATAGGAACAAGAGGGATCTACCGAAGAAGATACTTCTCCTTCCCTTTGTTTCGGAAGAAAAGGAGGATCCGGACAAAATCGATGAAATGTAAGATGAATGAGACAGATTGACTGGAAAGGAAAAAACAAAGGATGAATTCTACTTTAAAAGGACACGCTATCAAACAAAAGAGAAAAAGACCTGTTTATGAAACTTCTTAACCTTTGCCCAGATGTAAATAAAGAAAATTACAAAATGCAGTTAGATTTAGATACAGACGAAAAAGATATCTTCTGGTTTGAAACCCTCTGTGTGACTATTTTCATACTTTCTGCGACAAACAAATTCAGAATACCCCCGCATTGGTAATTCCATCAATTCCCCATAAAAAAAAAAGAAGTGAATTCAGCTAATACTCTTATGCCCCCAATTAAGTATATTCTATAAAGAGCATCTATGTAACCACGATTATATGACCCTAACCCAATTTAGTAAAGATGAATAAGCCGGCTTATAGAAGAAAGACCCTATAAATATTCCAAAATAAGCTATGCTAACAGAAAAGGTTGCATTTTTCACTCATACCAATACCAATTTGAAGAATCGGTTGAACTTTCATGTAACAAGTTTATCGACGGAGTTAACCATTTGTCTAATATATTCAACTCAATAGCTTCTTGATTGAATTGAGTGAACGGAATTCCTATGTCTCCAACAAAGAAAGTAAATAGGGATAAGACAAACATCGGAAATAGCATCGTATTATCTGATTCATAAGGATACGAAAAAGTAGTCTGAGTACAAAATAGGG